TTTTTTGTTTATTTACAAAGCATTTTGCCTGGGAAGTGGGGTGAAAGCCTGGTTGCTAGTGATCTAAAACTGAGCAAGTGCAGAAACGGGGAAGCTCGCTCTCGGTGTTCACAGGCTTTTTCCTTAGTCTCATCATCCTCTTCTCCTACTCCGTTTGTTCTTCACATCTCTCGGGCCCACGCCTTTCTTTCCTCTTGACGTCCTTGACCAATGGGAATGCGGCAGACAATCGCTAGCCCTGAGGGGGAGAGAGGAGAAATCCGGGCTCTGTGGCCCCTTTGTAGACGTGGCACAAACCCTTCTGTATGCGGCTCCAGCCTCTTCTTCCCTTTGTTCTTGAGAATTCTGTCCGATCCTCGGCGTGGTAGGGTTTGTTGGAGGCTGGTTGGCTTGCTTGTGTGGGTCTGTTCGTCTGCATGCACTTGGGTAGGTTTTGCTCCGCCATTCCCTGTTCTTCTACCTCTGTTAGTCTTTATGTGCTGTCGTGTAGGTAAAATATGTCTCCGGGTTTTTCAAAAATGTATGCGTATTTGTATTTCTCTCTGTGGTTTTTCTTGTTGTTTTGGAGTGGCTTCTGAGAGGAATAAGGGCCTAAAAATCTATTATTTATTTACTGTAAGATCACTGTTACCACTCTTTCTACAATCCATACGTCATTGTACCAGACACGTTTGTACATGTGTTGCTGTCGTTCTTTTCTAGACATTTACTTTCTATTGAGCCCTTGGGATCAGCTCCTCTTTGCGTGCCTCCCCCCCGGTTATTATTTTATTATTTTTAAATGTTCTCTTAAATTTTACTATACACATCTGGAGGACTGTTGTTATGGACGCTCCAGAATCTAGCTTGGTTCTGTACACGTACTCACTAAGTGTCTGATGAAACCGTCCTGAGCCTCCAACTCCAGTGCGAGTCCATGCCGTATCTTTTATAACAATGTGGGAAACAGCCAGGAAACCCATGCAATGATGGCTTTTAGAACACTTTCACCCCGCTTTTCAGCCCTGGGGTTTTCCTGTCTCCCCTCCAGGGAGTTAAAATAGAACAGAATCCCTCTAATTCTGCATGATTAAGATTCATAGTTAATTCACAAAAAAGTTTATTAAAGTGGCCAGTCTCAAAATTAATACATCATAGCTACCTTAAACATTTTATTTCAGTTTAAGTCTTCTGTTCACCAGTCTTTTGACAGCAAGATCAAGGAGATCAGGAGTTAGCTTTCCATTAAATTATGTGTTTATAATAGCAAATGTATTTGGGAGAAACCAAGGTAAACCCATTTGATGATGGTAGGCACATCACTGGCAAGAACAGAAGGCAGTGAATTGGCAGGGAGCCGATAGTAGCTGGAATCATCT